TTTTTTGTTAAATTTTGCAACAATTAGATTTGTAGAACGCTTTTAGAGTGGTATAAACATACATATATGCACATACATACATATATAAAAACCAAACGATGACGTCAATTGCTAATTATTTTCTGTCCTCAGAATTTATGATTTTCCCGAAAATCGGAAGTTGAATTAAATGCACCGTTTCTGCCTCAGGCTTGTTGTTGTTGCGGACAAACTGATTTTCGTTGCTTTCGTTTTGTTGCAAGACGTTGCATTAACACACAATTATTATGAATTTATTACAACAATTTCAGCTTAAAAATTTTCGCACATATTTTCAATTTTGATTTCTGTAACAAAAAAAAAAAAAAATCGTTTTATGTATATTTTTTTTTAATATCGTAAAAACGTAATTCTACTTCAAATGCGTTTGACAAAGTACAAATGTTTATAAACAATATTTACGATAGTATATGTTGTATCATGCGATAGTATTCCCAGCTAGCACATTTGTCAGACAATTTCTGATATCAGACAAGTCGGAATAAAAAGTTGACTATTTAGACAAGTTTTACAAGTTTCTTATAGATTTCTGGGCGAAATGTCTGGAAATTTTTTTTTTATTTCCTTATCCGATATGTCTGATCGAATTCTGTCCGATTTCGGGCAGACACGTCTGATAATTCTTATTTTCCATGATTATTTGGTCAGACATCTGTTAGATATGCGTCAGAATCGTCTGTCAGCTATTAGCTCCAAAACGTAGATAAAAATTTATAATTCACTTTAGACTTGGCCTTTCTGTGAAATTTATATTGTTGTGCGCTTGAAAGGTTATGAAAATATTTATCCAGCCCTTAAATTAATATTCCAGATATACAGTTTCCTCAAAAATGCTTGACGTAGTCAGTGAAGGTATTGAAATAAGAATTCGTTATGATTAAAATTGAAACTGAATCCATCGTACTACCAAAAATGCCCCATATTCATATCGATATAGAAAAATCTTTTTATAAAAGCTTTGATTTTTAACTTTAAACTAAACAACTAATTTGTAGCACCGCTTTCGATAGATTTTTTTATTTTAATTTGTCTTTTAGAAGATCTATGTTGTGGTTAGGTGAGGTCAAAGTGACGGTAGGTGGCAATGTTGCCAGATTACCAGTTGTAACTGTAAGTTACAGTTTTTGGATAAGATTGAAGTTACTTAAATCAATTTCTGTTACAAATTACAGTTTTTTTTTAATTCCGGGCTGAACAAATAAATTAAAATATCTCATTTGGTTTTTTTTTTTGTAAGCCAATTATTAAAATAAAGTTGTCCTTTACATTCCAGTCAGCACAGGGAATGTGGATAGAATATTTTCCCTATTAAATATGAAAAAAAACAATAAACTAAATATTTCTATAAAAAATAACTGCTTAACAAAACAATTTATGAAAAATATTGAAAGTAGAATTTCATTAAAATAAAATGTGATTTAAATATTTTGTTTAATAAAGTCTATTTATATTATTATAGGTATAATTTATGTTATGTTGTTTTATTTAAATAAATAGGTTTTGTTCTTTGTTTGTTTCTTTAAAATCTCCTCGTTACTGATAGCTTAAATTTTTTTATCAAAAACAGTTTTTCTGGAAAGTGATATTTTTTTAAGAAAAACTCTGGCAACACTGATAGGTGCACACACCAGCGCGTTCATTCCCTGCGAATGGCTTTTTGCGAGCTCGTCTCTCATCTCATTGCCTGGTATACCTCTTTGTCTGGGCACCTATACCAGGGTTCCAAGTTACCTGGAACATAATTCAGGGCGCTTGAATTGATTGGCTGAAAAATATATGTATGTAGATATTATTGCATCCTGTATGGCCGGCTGTACGGTTTGGAAGAGGCTAGGCGGAAAGATTTTTGCACTCCTATTTGTTCTTAGTAAACTCTCCTTCTGGTCTCGTTTTCGATTTTAGAACCCCCAGTGTAGCAATGCAGTAAGTGCTGGGGTCGTTGATTCCTGCTAGGGATTTCGAAGGTTGTGGTTGGCACTCAATAGTCCGTTAATTCCGGCGGCCGAAGCCCATCCAAATTTTAGTATGATCACGGGGTCTGTTTTCCAGCTGGATAATTTCCGGAGTCTGATGGCTGCTAGCAGGGGTATCCCTGCTGACAAACCTACTCGTCGATACTCCAACCGGATTAACCTTAACTACGCCGCATTCTAGTATTTGTTTACAAGCGTCCGCAGTCGCGAGCCGACGCCAAGATACGTCAACACTGTCCCGACCAATGAGGGTTCTAAAATACGTGAATAGTGAAATACGTTAGTTCCTCTAAAGGCACCCTAAATGTTTTTGAAACGAGCAAATACCTCGCCGTCACAAACGATAGCAAACAAAAGACTTAAGACACAAACTTCCAACGAAACGTTTAACAAATTCTCGATCTTTCTACGCTGGGTGTGCCACCCTTCGCGTCTGACTTCGAATATCTGCGTCAGCCGGAATAAATAGAAAGCAAACAAACTCATATAAATTTATATCTCTTTTGAATACGGCGGATGCTCTAACAATTCTCAATTCTACGTAATCTTCCAAATAGTTTTTCACTGCTAAAGCCTCTGACCAAACTATTCATCTCTTGTAGCTGAGTGCTTTAAGACTTGTGTATGTGCAATGGTTTACATCAGAATTTAGGGAATAGTTGTTACTTATTTTTAAAATACTAAAAACTAATTGAGTTTTTTTGTGTAATCTAAAGAGATTTTATATTTTTTTCTTTACATTTAACTAACGTGCCTCCATTTAGAATCAAACTGCTCGGAAATACTTAATAAAATAATAAGTTCAAGATTTTTTTTTACTTAAAATTATCTGCCACAATAAGCTAAGAACAATGTTTTTTTAATATAGATCGGTGTTTAATAAGATTTATTACACAAATTAGCGCAAATTTAAACAAAACGGAGAAATTCGATCGCTCAACAAATACGAATCTTGAACTTCAGCGGTTCTGCGCAGATAATCGAAATATATACGTTTTATATTATTGACTATTTATTTCTTTGTTTAGTATTCAATAAAATCATTTTGTTTTTTAACAGTTTACACAGTTGCCACACATTTTCTGAGCATATCCGCTGTTAGCTCAAAAACTCTCTTCTATAACTCTGTTCTTATTTTAATAAATTATTATATTTTTGTTTTATGCATTCAAAGAAATTCTTTTTCAATACATATGTAGTGCAAATAATGTATTTATTTCAGTTATTAATATATACATGTTTTTGAAACGAGCCAATAGCCAGCCAATACCCCGCCGCCACAAACGACAACAAACAAAAGACTTAAGACACAAACTTCCAACGAAGCTTTTAACAAATTCTTTTTCGATTTTTTAATCACACTCATCTTCCCACGCTGGGTGTGCCGTTTGCAATGATTATTCTGTACACAATACATAAATTTATACAAAAGTGTGCACATAAATTAGATATATAGTATAATCATCAGCTATTTGAAACAAAATTTAGAATACTTCACACGACAGCTTAATTATGTTTGGAAACCTTCAGTGTACACTGACTGCCTAACCAACTCATAAAAATATATTGTTGTATAACAACCGATGAACTTACACATCAACTAAAGTGGGGGCAAAACAAGAGCAATTAGTTAATATTTACGGACGTTTATGCTCTTTTTCACACATTCTTAATTGTAGCAACGACCACGACGACGACCACGACGACGACGACGACTGCAATCGGAGCCGGAGATCGGAAATCTCAACTCACCAATACACGCGTAGTACAGGTAATCTCTCCGCCGGTCGATTGACGCGCGCATGTGTGTTTGTTAGTAAACACAGTGGCGCACGTTGCATGCCCCGCACGAAAAAAAAACAAGCGCACACACATTCCAACAAACAGCAAATATTTGAAACTGTCCCCAACCAGCCAGACAGACAGCCAGCCAGGCAGTGTGGCCCGGTCCGCCGACTGATTGTTGGTGCAAAATGTCCTACCTTCTTTTGCCTTCCTCTGCCTGCTTCGGTGGTGCATTCGATACTCAGGTGGTCCGTGCTGGTGTTTGTGAGTCAATGAATGAATGCGCGTGAATATGGTGCGGATCGGCGAGCGAGGGCTGTGAGCGAGCGCCTGTTGGCTGGCCGGCCGGCTGGCTGTCTGGCTATGAGTGAAGAGTGTTGGTGACGGTGGCTGGCGCCCAGTGCTGCTTTAATGTTGTGCAGCGAGCAATTCTAAGTCAGTCTGCAGTTGGATTTCGTTGCGTGCGGTACGAAAAGCGGAAAACTTTTACACGGTGCTAATTGAAAAAACAATGTGTTGGTAGAATTAATGGGAAACTTCTGACATGGTTTTCAATTTGAGTGAACTAAAAAATGGGTGCGAATGTTATGAAATTGCAAGCTGTGCTTACGATTTTTTTTTGTATTTAAAAATTGTGCAGAACTAGAACTAGAGAACTAGCGCATGGCAAGCGATGCTTACTTAAGTAACTTGTGTGTGTAGTACTTGGTGAAACGCAGTCGTGTAATTTGCTGTTACTTCCCAGCTTCAAAGTCGAATGTCGGTATCGGCCACACGGTTTGCCACGGATCGGTGAATGTTTGAACATACAAACGTAAATATGCACGTACGTCTATGACACAGCTTGCAAACTGTCGCAGATAGAAAAATTATGCCATTCAATGTAAGGAACAAAGACTAATGTGTTTTATGTGCCCTTAAAACCTTTGAGCAGCAACGTCTGATAATCGTACCGACGGCTACGGTGGAAATGGTGAAAAATCTACTATCCAAAATATACACGGAATAACTTGAAAAGTCGTGAGAAATAGAAAATAAAATGGTGAATACTCCGGCGACCTTCAACATAATAAAAAGGCATTTGTGAACATTTTATAAACCATACTCAAGGCAAAAAATTAATGCAAATCCAAGTGCTTACAGCTTAATTGAAAATATCGAATGTGCACATACAAGCATCCATTAAGAATATCTGGTGTTTGACAACTCATTCTAACTTAATGCTGATTGAATTGAATAATAAAAATCTTCATAAGTGCAAATGGCAATGTACAATGAAAAATAAAAAAAAATTTAATATAAAAACTGTGTCGTAAATCTGCAGTACCATACCATATATGTATCGATCAAATATGCAAGACAAGCTTTTGTTGCGCGCATAGCTAAATAAACTTTGTGTGTCATAAAAGTTTTTCAATTACAGACACAGTGAAATCCTACCAAGGAAGAACAATAAAAGTCTCTTCGAGTGAAAGGGCTATTTCGCAACTTAAAACGTCTATTCAATCAGAAAACACTTAGTGAACCAAAGCAAAACTGGAAAATGGTGCCAGCATGACAAGCTACCCGAACAAAGCAAGCACTAACAACACTGAGAGTTCGAGCTTTCATTCCAACATCATTCGAGCTTTCACCGCCAAATTTAAGCTTAAAGCTTCCGACCATTCGCAAAATCAATACAAAACCATGCATGACGAATTCCAAAACGCAACACAAGCCAACAATAATTCGACTAATCGAACTTGTCAACCATCCATCGGAGATAACGAAAAACATTTGGACACGTCGTACGCCGAAGTCCAACCTCCAGAGCTTATAATTAACAGCGCCGCCTATATTACGCACGGCGCCGATAACGCAGCCGCTGGCTCACTGCAGCACAGTCTGAGCGTCATGCCGCCGCCGTATCGCTATCCCAGCAGTGAATCATCGGCGTCCTTCACGCTATTGCCGCTTAGTCGACGGCGCTGGTTTCAGCGACAGACTTGCCTGCTCTGTATTATGGTCGCATTCATCTTCGGCCTGCTGCTTGGCGTCTTCGTGCCAATGCTTGATCTTCGTCATGTATTTTTAAATATGTCAAGTGCGCAAAAAGCGGGGCCGCTTATAGAGCATACGTCTCCGGATAGCTCAAAAAGTTTAGATAACAAACTTGCGCCGAGCATAGCCGCTGATTTGTATTGGAAACCACTGCCTCGCGACAAGCCACAGCGCAATCATACACCGACAGCTACGATTGGCGATCTCAGTGTTGGTCCGCTCAGCCCGTTTTCGGTGGCCTTCATCAGTGACAGACATGCGAGAGTCAACGCTGAAGAAATATTAAGTGACAACGTACATTTAAGTGCGCAAAGGCGGTCTTCTTTTACGGTGCATAACATCATAGATAAGCCTCTGGGACAACCATTAGGCCAATATGCTTCGAAACCAAGCACGGCTTTCGACTCTGCCCCCGCTGTTGTGTTAACGAAGCAAACACTCCAACGGCCCACAGTGCAGAAGAAGAAACATCCGCTTGAGCGCCGCTTGCTGGGCATCATTAACTCAAACATCTTCTGGGGCGAGCAGGTAGAACGCGCCCTACCAAAAGGCTTCAGCGCACAAGACACGCGTGATTGGAATGCATATGTGACATCGCCAGCTGTGGTGCAACGCCTCGAACCAGGCTGCGGACGCATGCAAAACCGCATGATGGTCTTCAGCGACGGCACACGCGCTTGTGCGCGATACCGCCAAAATACCGACCAAATCCAAGGCGAAATCTTCTCGTTCTATCTGGGACGCTTGCTGAATATGAGCAACCTCGCGCCTAGTGCCGTGGTAACTGTGAATGGTGAGACGGAGAAGTGGTCCAACGTGGTGCAAGACATAACACAAGCGCAGTGGCAACAGCAGCGTCCGGTGGTGCTGACGCGTTGGCTGCCCAATCTCGAGCCCGCCGGCATACCGCAGCCATTCCAACCGCTCGATCGACATTTGAACAAACACGATGTATGGAATATTACTCGGGCTTTGACATCTGTCAAAGCGGCCACAGCGCCACAGCCTTTGGTGGCTGAAAGTTTGGTAACCAGTGGACGCGACTCGTATGGTTCTGTCAATAGCGTTCAAGCGCCGAGCCCACCGATGTCTGCCTTCTCTGATTCGTCCCTGGATATATTCATCACGCCAACCTCACTCGCTCTGGAGCGGCTGGTTGAGCTCGCTCAATGGTCGGATTTGATTGTCTTCGACTATTTGATAGCGAACCTCGATCGCGTTGTTAACAATCTCTACAACTATCAGTGGAATGCGGAAATTATGGCCGCGCCTGCGCATAATTTGGCACGCCAATCTAATTCACAACTACTTATCTTTCTCGACAACGAATCCGGTTTGCTGCACGGCTATAGACTGCTCAAGAAATACGAGGCCTACCATGGTCTGCTGCTGAACAATTTGTGCGTATTCCGTGAGCCCACCATACGAGCACTGCAGCAACTGCGTGCGGCCGGTGCGGGACGCAAGCTACGGGAATTGTTCGAGCAGACGGCGAGCGACGAAGTGCGGGATGTGCTGCCAGCTTTGCCGGATAAATCAATTAAGATACTCAGCGATCGCATTGATCGAGTGCTGGAGCAGGTGGAAAAATGTAAGCAGCTGATGGATGATAGATAATGATTGATAGTAAGCGAAAGGGAATGTTGAAAGTTAGAAAAGTTAAAAAAAAAAATAAAAATATTATGGTTGAGGTGCTTTATGTAAAAATTGACTGTAAAATAGGTGCGATTTAGAGTTCAATCATGTAAATAGGAATTATTGTGGGTAGTTATGTATATATTATAGAATCCAAAAGTAATCGAGGCGCTCCCGAAAAGTCATTGTAAAGTCATAATTTTTAAGTTTCTGTGAGTAAAGTAATGGTAATTTAACACGTAGTGCATAGGTAGTCGAGACAAAAAGACTTAAGTATGTCATTCCCACTGATAAGTGCTTAACATTTGTTTTGGCTGAGGATGTTCTGTACACAAAAATATGTAACTTTGCCGCCAAAAACACACATACCTACATACGTGTGTGTTAGGTATGTAAAGGAGCAACTAAGATATACCTATGGTATACGAGAGTCATGTGATTCTGATTTCATTGTATGTTACTTCACTATCTCAATTTAATTTTGGAATTCTGAAATACATTTCACTAATCGAAAGAAAACCTCACAAAGTAATAAGTTCCAAGAGTACTGAAAAATCCTGAGCATGAAGGAGATAGAATTAAAAAAAAATATGGGCATTATTCAAGCTTTCTATCTTTCACAACCAACGCTTTTTTATAAAAAAAATGTTATGATCACATTCTAAACTATATTTTTTGTTATAAGACAAGCTTTACGCAGCGTGCTCTGAAACGCTGGTTGTGCAAATCATTTAATAATCCAACTTAAAGGGTCTTAATGGCATTGTATTCTACTCATGTTTCAGGCATGAGACAAATCCCGGTCGCTCTAAAGCCGCGGACTTCTACATTGAAAGAAGATTTTACCAAACCTATCTCCAGATGTCTCTTAAACCGTCCCGATCTTTGGCGCTCGTTAGAAATTTGAAGCGCATTTTTGGGCTTGCGATATGCTCGATCAAGAAAATTGATTTTACAAAACCGAAACCCAAATTCGGGTCCATATGGCCAATATCTCTGTGGCGACTCGCATTCCCCTACAGAATTGTCACGTTCCGTGTTCATCGTATATTAAGCTCGGGTCCCAGATATATGGATGATGTGCTAAGAAAGATATTGCCCGTTTCTTCTACTTTTTTGAGCATAAAGCGAGTTATTCATGGCCGTCTGAAATGTCTAGATCTCGGATTGATAATTTATATACACATGAAGCTGCTATATTCATTGCATTGATCTCAACCTGAAACATACCGAAGTCGTATCGATGTTTTCAAGCAATTCTCAATGAAGGTGGATTTTTCACGTGATGTTCTTCTGCCCTTTTGCGATAACCATAAGTCACTTCTTCTACTAGACGACCTTAACTTCGATGCACTCAGAAATAAAATATTTTTCACTCACATTTTTGTTAGGCTTTTGGTCGAGCTTCGCTTCCAACTAGTGGTGTGCGTCGTCTTGATGTTTAAACACCGCCTTCGAACAGAACATGGTTTTTTATTTAGAAGCTTTCTCATGGCAGGAATATGCTCGGAGGTTTGCCTTTGATTGCCGATTGGTGACCGCTGCTTAGATAAAATCCTTTTATATATATATATATATATTTTTGTTGTAATCCTATAGCTGTTATAAACTGACATGCCCCGAATTTGAGCCAAATCGAACCATAAGTAAAAACTTTCATATACACTTGTCGGTTTTATTTTTTGAAAAAAATATTTCTTATAAATCTGCTATGTAGTTTACTATCAAAATTCGTCTTAGTTATGATGTTGTTTTCATGCAATAAAAAAAACGTATTTTATATTTTTAATTTTTTGTCGATCCAGTTGATACAGTACGGTTATATGTATAAAATGATACCATGTTATATATTTCTAAAAGATTTAAATCTGAATTCTATTCCAAAGAAAAAAAAGTTTCTCTAAAAAATACAAATACTAGTAACAAGAACAAAAGTTTCCTATTATATATATTTATTCTTCTAAGTCAGATATTCTCTGTATCTTCTTGCCATGGTGTTTTTGCAGGGACCGTAACAGTTATAACTTTTATTAAAAAAATTGCTCTTTAACAATTGTTTTTTAACTTTTATTTAATTAATCCTTAAATAACCGTTATTTCGGCCTTTTATTTTATAAACACGAAATAAAAATTATTTTTTAGCGTGTATTCCGTACACAGAATTCCTTGTTGAAATGTTTAAATAGAATTGCTTGTAGCTGTTCTCAAGTTTGAAATTACTCACCTATAGAGCGATAAACTTAGATGTAAGACTTTTCATTGTCCAACAAAGAAATTAGAAATTTTAGAAAATGTTCAATTCTAACTAAAAACAAAGTCTAATCTCCTTATACATACATATTGCACACTATCTTCAAAGAAGACACAATTAAAATTAAACGTTCCTCAGAATATGCGAAAAACTATTTATTAGCACATGGGCAAGTAAGACTTTACTTTAGGGTTTTCAACAAACTATAACAAAAATTCGCACCAGCTTTTGCTGAAAGGTAAATACAAGCTCTGGGTAAATTTTTATTCCATCATTTCAAAAATGACAAATTTTGAGTTGTGTCACTTTCGAAGATGGTGAGCGATATGTACTGTGAGCTATCAAATTTCGTTAGAAAAAATTCATACAACTTTTTATACTTAAGTTAGAATGTGGAATGTATGATTTAAACACATACCGGCGGCCAGCTTAGCCAATGTGTTGTAAACATATTCGAAAAATTGTCACAATTTATTTTTTTTTTTTTTATTTTAAAAATTATTGACTGTAAATATCAAATTTACAATTTAAAAATATTTAATTAACTCCTACGAGTTTTAAAACAAGAATTTAATGAAATTAGAAATTAACTAAATATTTTATGAAAAATAATTTTGTCTAAGATTTTGTGATATAATATTTAAGTATGATTTATATATATTTCAATGATAACTTATTTAAATGCTAATCGAAATATTAATACTTTATATGGAAAAAATAAAATAAAACTTGAAAAGAAATACTGTGAAATACATATAAACGAAAAAAAATAAGCCTTTGCCTCTTAACTGGGTTGGGTTGAAAATGGGTTGATTTCGATTCTTGAGTTGCACCAAATTTGCAGTTGAGTGCCTACAGATATGGAACTTGAGGAATTATTTTACTGTAAAAAAGCATCAAGCGAAAGGTTATATTCATTCCACGAGTCTTGAATCTGTATTTCAATTCATTTACGAACGCAAAATTGAGTATTTTTTTTTTAATTAACCTTAGTTGTGGTTATGGTTTCTGGTTAATAACCTCAAGTCGGTATTGAATAGTGTACTATATAGGATCAAATTAACTATTTTTCGGTAAAATTGAGATCCGAAAAAATGTTAAATGTTATTGTTAAAATAAATTTCACAAAAGAAAAAAAGAGAAATAATTGATATCACTTCCGTGTGTACAAATCTACAGTACCACTGTCCAATAAAATGGACGCTGAATAACGGTAAAACTAAGAGTTTTATAAAATTTTTGAACGTGTTTTTGAAATCAATGAAATTTAATTCGCTGCACTATGTCCATCTCGTTGTAAAGCTCATACAGCTCCTCGTTCCATAGTCTGCGGTACTCGCCGTCGCCAACGCATAAAGGCAGAACAGACTTCGCGTTTTTTGTTACCGACGATATCGATGTAAATGTAGTAAATTGTTCCTGAGTGTTTAAGTTCTGCAGCTCTTATTATCTTCTCCGACATCCTTAAAATTCAACAAATAGGTGGTGAGTGTCGATTCTTTTCTCACGGGTCTTTTCCAAAATTTGGCGTATTGTGAATACCTGGTCTATGGTGGATTTTCCAGGCCTAAAGCCACACTGATAAGGCCCAATCGGTTCATTGACGGTGGGCTTCAGTCTTTCATACAATACGCTCGATAAGACCTTGTAACCTATGCTTAGAAGGCTAATTCCGCGGTAGTTGGCGCGTACGGCGGGGTCGCCTTTCTTGTGAATTGGGCAAAGCGCACTTAAATTCCAGTCGTCGGGCATGCGTTCATCTGACCATATTCTGCATGAGAGTTGATGCATACACCTTATCAACTGCTCGCCGCCGTATTTGAATAGCTCAGCTGACAGGCTTTGTTGTTTTCCAGCCGTGTTATTGCTATTCGTACCTCGTCATGGTCAGGCGGTGGAACATCGACTCCGTCAGTAGCGTGGAAAAGTGTTCCCTCCATAATTACACGAGTACGCTCTGGTATTGAAATCTTCCGTAAGTCGCCTAACTCTCTGGTAAAATTGTCGGGCATTCTTCCTGTCGGCCAGCATTTCAAGCTCTTCGCACTCACGTATTAGAGCCATTCGAACCATAAATTAATCAACAAAACATTCCACAAATATGATTGGGTGCACCGAGGAATGACTACTGCAGAAGCTGTATGGATGAAGACGAAGAGGAAACCATCCAAAATCTTCTCTGCCACTGCCCGGCTCTGTCAAAACGGAGAGCAAAAGCTCTTGGGAGCCATTTCTTCAACGATGTCGATGACACCAAAGCGGTGAACGTTAGAAGCCTATGCACATTTTTGAAAAGCACCAAGTGGTTTACAGCGCAACGGGCATAATTAAAAAAACCTCATGCGGTATCACAAAGAACCCTGAGTCTAAGTGAGTCCTACACCGGACTGTCGCCCAACCTAACCTTATCTATGCTTTAGACAAGGCGGCTTATATAGTCGGCCTAGTCTCTTGAGGTAATTAGCTCGGCTTGACCACAAAGAAATTAACGATATTCTGATGCCGCTGTTAAAGGATCTTTTTCCAAGGCCTTATCCAAAAAAGTCTATGACTTTTTCTCTTATATTTACCGCTGTGCCTACTTCAATACTTGGTACTAACAAATGTTTTGGTACATGGTTTTGGGCTAATAAGTAATAAAATTAAAACAAGTGAACGCAGTGGCTAAAGATTGTAGAACACCGTTTTCGAAATGACCTTCATTTGCCTTCCAGAAGCGACGAAGTCGGCTTGGCCACTCATTGATTGCTGAACGCTTGCCATGCGTTGGGAAATTTTCCTCTACGCGGACAAGGGGCGCTCTTCAAAGACTCAACAAGATTTACAAGTCTAGCAGTGCATGCCATGGCCTCCAGAATGAATCATAGTTTAGAGTCCAATCGATTGATGGCGAGCACCAGATGGTCATCTATCCGTGAAAATTAAGTTCGATTTTGATGATTTTGCGTCGATTTTATTTATAAGCTGGAGTGGAGTCTTCTTGAAACTATCACAGAAGCTGGGTGGGCCAGCGTTAAACCCTCGGAACGAGCTCGGGCGCATGTTGTGAAGTCAGAGCATACATCCCATCGTTCTGTTTATTAAAAGATTCTGCAACATCGAAAATTCGATCGTTAGCAAACCGAATTAATTTGTTATCATTTTTGGCGTACTAACGAAGCGAGGCTTTCGATTTTGACTTACGTTTTTATTTCAACGCTTCTTTTATATGCGCTTAGTTAAAATTCGATCTCATACGCTTTAATGGCTTTTGGCGTTTGCAAGGTGCGACGAGAGTCGGCTATTCCATTAATCTCCCAGTACAACTTTACGGTACGATACACACAATTTCGATAAATTTTCAGTGGCCACAACATCCGAAATATTTCGCGTTTTACGTTCGCTCAGACGAGATTGCCGAGGAAGGTAGGAATTTGACTATACGAGCTTTCGAATGGAATAGCCAGAGTATGTCTGGGGTTGGTTCAAATAACTGGCGGAACTTTACCGGTGATGAGCGGTCGGCGAATTTTTCGGGTTTGGTTCATACTGACAAACGGTGGTACAAGTATATAAAATACAACGAAAAAAAGGTTTATTTGGAAATTAAGTAATTTGGCGATGTTCTACATAAATGCTCTTAAACTGGAGTATTTTTAGCGAATGTTCCTATAAAGTAAAAAAGAACTGAAAAAAGAACAATTTTATCCACTTTCATCACTGATGCGAATAGGCAATTAAGCAAATAAGCTACATTAGCGGACTCGAATTTTATTCTGCTTAAGACTGAACGTATGAAGTTAACTATTTCTTCCAACTTATTGGAGTAAACCTTGCTTCAGCTCTATTCTTAAATATGTATACTCTTATATATGTATTCGCAGGCGTTAAAAACAATGACGCAACATTGTCTTCTTAAAAGGCATAGAAATATTTTTTCGCAGCAGAGTCAAAAAATTAGTCACCGGCTGTTTGTTGTCATCTGTACAATACAACAAAAAAAAACGAAAACAAAATTGTAGTTGACAATCTTGCTGAACAATTGATTTCCATTTGTTACGAATAGCGATAATAAAAACTTATTTATGACTCTATGCATCCGCAAAGACCGTCAAATTAAGTAAAATGGCAATCCTATGCAAACTATTTACGCGTAGCTCGAGCGTAAATGGTATAACAAAAATACAACAAAGAAAACGAACCAGCCAACTAGGTTGACAGGTACGATTTTATGAACAAAAGCGATCACATTACCAATTCATAATTGACTTAAACAAATCATTAAGTTTTCCGTTACGCTCTTTTAAATTCTACTTACCAAAATGTTCGAAAAATATTGATTTAAATCAATCGCATTAGGTAATTTGCATTAAACTCTAATTTATATGCTCCCAAGTCAATAACAAACACTTGCGTAGGCAAGCTACATTCTTACATACATACATATATGTATGTACATATGGAGCAAGAGCATTCTTCAAAATTTTCAATAAAATATTAACACGCTGTGCGGTCCAAATAAGATGCTTTTTTTTTGCTTTTTTTTTTTGGTGGTCCCACCAATGCGAGCGCTTTGGAAATAGTGCTCTCGTTCCGAATTAAAGCAAAATATAAGTTCAGTCTCGAAGAAAGCCTAAATTAAAATATGCTCTTTCTCTGTGCGCGTCCATATGAAGTATTTCACCCTAAAAATGTTTTACTTATAGATAGAGGATAGATTGCCTAAGATACTATATATACATATACTTGGTATGTACATTACATTGGTTCTAAAACATCGATCGCCTTAATATTAATTTAAAGAACAGGTAAACACTTTTTTATTTTATAACTCGCT